ACCGTGTGAGGTCATTTGTGACCTGTAACCCCCTTGTACCCCCCCCCCCCCCTCCCATTGTTGAGCCACCTTTGGCAGAGTAGGAAGAAACGATTGGCCATCGATGATCGGTCTTGTGGTAACAATTCTCCGTTCTCTCGAGGAAGCGTGGTCTAACAGCTGAGGCATATAACACATGAGTATCCCCACACACACACCCGATCATGCATGAAACCTGATCGTGTCTGTTCACCACCTTGTACCCCCCCCTCCCGAGGTCGACGGTCTAACGACTACGGCATGCATGCGTTTTCATGAGCATAAACACACACGCACAGGTCGATCTCGTTGTTCATCCTTTTGAAACATAGCCTTGATCTGGGCCGGCGAACAGCCGGCATGTCGCTCCTTCGTCCCGGCATTGTAGGGATGATGCGAGGCCAATCGTCTAACGACTAGGGCATGCGTTTACAAGAGTACACCCCACCCCTCCCGCCTAGCATGCATGAAACCCGTGGCGTCTTTGGTGATCTGGGTCTGTCTGTATATGTAACCCCCCCTCCGCGTGTATCTCGTTGATTGTGGGTGTCCCTCTCGGCAAGGTAATCTCGCGGCTTGGTGGGCCCCGGCGGGCATCGCTAACGTTCCTCGAGATACCCAACGTCCACGCGATGCAGCAGAGCTTCGCCACGCTCATGTCGGCGTGCTCCGGCCGGGAGGATGACCCGGCATGGCTGGTGAACCTACACGTGAGAGCGAGCGGCAACAGTAGTACGCATGTATACAGCAGTAGCGACGCGTTCTTCTTTCAGAAGGGCAGGAAAAGGAAATCCGTCGATCAAGCGTTAAATCAGTACGTACAGACGAAGGTACTGGGTGCAGAGAGATCGCTGAGGTTTTTTCATGTGAACACGACAACAACACCAACAACAAACTGTGTATGTGTTACGTGTGGACGTGTCCGTCTTTCCGAAGAGCTAAAGAAACGAACATGTGCTTTTTTTTTTTCGAAAGCCGTGTGTGCGGTTGATTGAGCATTTCCTTTTCGGAAGATCTGGAAAAAAATACATTTCCACAAGCCGGGTGTTTATGTGTGGGCATGGCCTTCTTTGGGAACAACCAAGGGAGTGTTTTTTTTTTCCC